TAGAGTGGGAGGAGGGGAGAGAGAGAGAAATAGCAATGCTAGAGAGACACATGGACTGGTTGCCTCCCACGTGACCCTGACCATGGCCAGGGACTGAACTGCAACCGAGGCACGTGCCCTTGACTGGAATCGAACCCAAGACTGGCCAGGGCGAAACTCTGATTTTTTAGCAAGGGAATATATTTAAATTTGTTGCCATATTGTTTCCTGTGTATTATTTTTAGTCATTTTTATAACAGTAGAAAGAACAAGTGTTTTCTAATAGCATATGGTTTTTTGTATTTTATAATTAAAGAACTTCAGCCCTGGCTGGTTTGGCTCAGCGGTTAGAGCGTCGGCCTGCAGTTCAGAGAGACTAGGTTCGGTTCCCGCTAAGGAAGGGCATATACCTCCGTTGCAGTTTGTCCCCGGCCCTGGTTGGGTCATGTGGGTGGCAACCACTCGATGTGTCCCTTTCACGTCGATGTTTCTCTCGTTCTCTCTCCCTCCAACTCTATCTGAACAAAAAAATGGAAAAATGTCCTTGGTGAGAATTAAAAAAAAAAAAGAACTTCAGAAGAGGTTTCTAAACATTTAACATTATGTTTCGTGAAATTCTGTAAAACGTTGAATTGAGTAGTATATGATTTTAAAAATTATTAGAAAAATTGTAAGCAATTGCAAAAATTTATATCTATATGCTTAGTTTTTAAATGTGTTACTGATTATAATAGCTTCAAAGTCTTGTTATTTAACATCTCAATGTAAAATAGGGTAAGGTATACTGTTAATGATGCTAGACATAAATCTATATCTCAAATTGTCTTCTTGATAAGTAAAAAAAAATCTTGGCCTATTTCTTTTCAGATCTGCTTGAATCATCATTGTTTGTATCTTATAATGTGGTCACTAAAGGGCTACAACTATAGTACGAGTGTTCACTTGGTCATAGTATTATTGTCACTAAGGCTTGTATTACTGGTATTATCTTCAAACTGTGGTCTCTCTGGAAGGATCTTTAAAAACCTCTTGAGCCCTGGCCAGTTTGGCTCAGCAGTTGGAATGTCGGCCTGTGGACCAGAGAGTCCTGAGTTCAGTTCCAGCTAGGGGCACGTACCAAAAAACAAAAAAACCCCAACAACCTCTTGAGCATTTGTTCAGGGTTAATTTAGTTAAAATTAATTATTAATTCAGTTAAAATAAAATTATTAATCACATTAATATTTTACATATAGTGTTAATCTTTATTTATTTATTTATTTTTATGAATTTTTATTTATTTTTTTGTTACAGATATTTTACCTTTTTACCCCATTGGCACCCCCCACCCCACCCCCCCTCCACCCTGTCCCCAGCTTAGTTGTCCATGTCCATTGGTCATGCATACATGCATATAAGTTCTGTGGTTTATCTCTTCCCACCTCCCCACCCCCCCATCCCCTCTTCTGAGGGATGTCAGTCTGTGCCCTACTTCCATGTGTCTGGGTCTACTGTATTCCTCAGACTGTTATGTTCATTATATTCCGTTGTTAATCTTTATTTAAATTTAAGTAAGGATTCGTTTTTTTTTTCATCTTCACCTGAGGACATTTTTGCATTTATCTTCAGATAGAGAAGGAGAGAGAGAGGGAAGAAGAGAGAGGGAGAGAAACATCGATGTGAGAGAGTCACATCGACTGATTGCCACCCACACAACCCCAGCTGGGGCCAGGGACGGACTGCAACCAAGGTATGAGCCCTTAGCTCAGGAACTGAACCTGGGCCTCTGGTCCATGGGCTGACACTCTAACCGTTGAGCCAAACCAGCCAGGGTGGATTTGTTTTATTTATTTATTTATTTATTTATTTATTTATTTATCCTCACCCAAGGATATTTTTTCATTTATGTTCAGATAGAATGGGAGGGAGAGAGGGAGGAAGAGAGAGAGAAGAAAGAGAGAGAGAGAGAAATAGAAAGAGAGAGAGAGAGAGAGAGAGAGAAACATTGATGTGTCTTTCTCACATTGATTAGTTGCCTCCTGCAGGATCCCAACTGGGGCCAGGGACAAACCGCAACCAAGGTATGGGCCCTTGGCCAGAATTGAACCAGGACTCTTTGGTGCACGGGCCGACGCTCTAAATGGCCAGGGCCATTTTTCTTTTAAATAGATAAATATACACAAGTATGTTTATATAGTGTACTACTTGGATGTATGAGCCCACTTTGGAGACCACTGAAATAGAAAAGTAAATGGGAAAGAAAGGTGAGAAGGGTGTGGTGATTAAGGAAGAAAAGCATGGTTTCCAGAGAACCCTTTCCTGGGATAGGACCCCTCTGAAGAACGTAGACAGTCACCGAAAACCGGAGGCAGGGAGTGGGGCTATGGATTTATTAGTATTGGAGTTTAGAAAACAGTAGTGTGGAGTTTTCACAGGGCTCTGATATGAGAGAGGAAGCAGACTTAAGCCATCTTTCATTCTTTAAAGAAAACCAATTTGAGGTATTTGTTGGTATTAGGGGGTCTGTGAGGTTCCATACTTAAGTGTGTTTATCGTTTTGCAGGCGAGGGGACCACATGGAGAATCACTAATCTCCATATCCTCTCTTTGCATAGTTTTGATCTCAGCTTTACCCTTTGTTGCTTCTACACTCAGCTTTCCTTGACTTTAGCTACAGTCAGAGCAGAAGTTGGGAAAGTTGAGTAAGGCAGCAAATGAGGGATAGCTATAGGCTAACATTTATATTCAGCATTTTCTTCTTTTCTTCCTTTCGCCCTTTGCTCTAACTTGGTATACATGTTGCATAGCTTGGTGTAGTAGCAAGAACCCAGTTTGGGAGTTTCAGCTCTGCCAATGAACTTCAGGTGACATTGGCTAAGTCACTTCTTTCCAGGAATTAGTTTCTTAATTGGTAGAATGAAAAGTTTGATTATCTTCAAAGAGGTTCAGCTCTGACATGCTGTTTAAACCCTTCTGGGATAAGGCTCTGTGCTGCCTCTTTACACAGAACTTTTAATGAAGTTCCCTGTTCTGTATATCAACCTTAAAGCACCATGCCCACTCTACTTTCTAAAAGGACAAATGGCTAGGAATGTAGTTTAATAAATGAATTTGTGCTGGTGGACTTATGAGCAGAAAGTGTAAAATATTTCTAGCTTCTTCCCTTTGCTCTCCTGACAACTTCGATCGAGTGCATTTCCGCAGTGTGATCCTAGATAGTACTCTTGCTTTCTAACCTTGAGTGGCTAATGAGAACTTTAGGAAGGAAGTATTAGCATCTGAAGGGTTGTGTCTCTAACGGCGTTTGGGCTGAAAGAGATAGGCAGGGCACTGGGACACAGCCATCAATTCATTGCATGTGTTTGGCCAGGCTGGCAGCAGTGGCCAGTGCCAGGGTTTTTGAGTATGGTTTCTGACACCAACAGAGTTGGCTGTCTTTGAAGTCTTCTAGTTAACCTCTTCTAGAATCTCAAAGTGCCACTATCACTCAGGAGGAGGAATCTCTGGTGGCGGGGAGGGTGGGGGGAGTCAGGGGTCTAGACTCAGGAAGAACTTAATTCTCTTCTTCTTCCTAGTTTCTTGAAACATCTGACCAGATTTTAGATTTTCTCTTTTTTTTTTTCAGTACCCATTCGTTGCCACAGAAGGAGGCAATATTGAGTAACGAAATAGATGTATATTACCAAAAATATATTGGGCAATTGCCATATACCAGACATATTTCTGGGTGTTTTTAAATTTTTTTTTTTTTTTGGTACGTGGCCCTAGTGGGAACTGAACCCGGAACTCTCTTGTCCACAGGCCAGTACTCCAACCGCTGAGCCAAACCGTCCAGGGCATTTCTGGGTGTTTTTAAAAGATGAAGATAATAACCTGTATCATAGCTTTTGAGAAGTTTCAGTATACAAAATATATTTGAGAGAGTTGCTATGTTGTAAGATCTCATTAAACAGTCATTATTATTTTATTATTTCATTTGCATAACAAATTCTGGAGGTAGATGTTATTATTCTTATTTTATAGATAAAGAAATTAAGGTTGAAGAGGGAAAATAGCTTGCCCAAAGTCGCATAGCCATTAAATGGTAGAACCATAATCTAAACCCAGATGTTCTGGCTTCAAGTACCATGGTATTTCTGCTATATAATATAGCTGCCTATAACAGGCAAGTAAGTCATGAGATTTTTTCCAGATAACCTACAAGCTAGATAATCAGGAGCTTGGATAATCAGGATAATCAGGAGCTGAACATGTTATTATGTGATGTTGAATTTTAGTAGATTCGGTAATTAAGGTAGTTCTTGCTTTGCACTGCTTGATGTTAACTGAAATTCATGTATATCAGAACCGTATCCTCTTTTTGCATAGTTCTGATCTCAGCTTTACATAGTTCAGATGTCGTGGTTTGATCAGTTACTACAGAACCTTGCAAAGTGAGGACTTGGCTCCAATATGCACTAGTTGCAGTTAACACAGTATAGTGCAAAGCAAGGACTGCTTGCATTTCTATCAGCTTCACATTCACATACAGAAATTCTCAAATTCTCTTTCCTTTGCACCAGTTAGATGCTTTATTTTCATTTGATGACATTCATTATCTTCTGCATTCTTTTACTTAAAAGGTTGTTTTCCTGCTAAGGGGAAGCACTGTTTTAAGTAAGGTCTATGAAGGTCATTGATGATTGGCTCTTGGCTTCTAGGCTTCCGTCTCTGACATTTATTGTATACAGCAGATCTCTCTCTCTTTGGAATTCCATAGAAACACCTGTTTTCTTTACTTTATTTAAAACATATGTTTTTATTTATTTTAGAGAGAGAGGAAGGGAGAGGGAGAGAAAGATAGAAACATAGATCTACTTTCTGCATGCCCCCTACTGGGGATTGAGCTCTGGTGGGGAATGGAACTGGTGACCTCTTGGTGCATGGGACAATGTTCAATCCACTGAGCCACACCGGCGGGGCTACTTTTTTTTAAAACTCTCCCCACTCCCCATTACATGTGTTTCTTTCTGAATTGAGGTGTTTCTTTCTATCTGTTCCAGCAATGCAAAGGAAGACCAGAGAGGCCTGTTTATCTCTCAGTTGGTGTTTTACTACATGAAAAGTGATATATTACAGTAGACAGTGAGCAGCCATTAGGTAAGAACTAGGTGTACTTACATTTCTTCCTGGATGTAGATGCTCAAATTCTTCTTAAGCACTTAATACTAATTTCAACCTGGATATAGATGCATAAATTGTATAGATGTCAATTTTAGGGCAAATATTGAAAATGCTGATGCTTTGAATTTCCTTTTGTCCCAGAAGTTTAAAAAAATTCTCCTCCCTTAAATTTTTATTGTCCTTCTGCCCCTCCCTCACTTTTAAGATTATGTTTGAAACCTGTTCTTAGTTTTCTTTGTCAAGAATTCTGAAGAGCCCTGGCCGGTTTGGTGCAGCGGTTAGAGCGTCGGCCTGCGGTCCTGAGAGACCCGGGTTCGGTTCCCGCTAGGGGCGCGTGCCTCGGTTGCAGTTTGTCCCCGGCCCTGGTCGGTTGTGCGGGTGGCCGCCACTCGATGTGTCCCTTCACATTGATGTTTCTCTCTCTCTCTCTGTTCCTCTCTCTCCCTCCCACTCTACCTGAATAAAAAATGGAAAAATGTCCTCGGGTAAGGATTAAAAAAAAAAAAAAAGAATTCCGAAGAGCCCTGGCTGGTTGCGCTCAGCAGTTAGAGCTCAGCCTGTGGACCAATGAGTCACGGGTTTGATTTCAGTCATGGGCATGTACCTCGGTTGCTGTTTGTCCCCCGCCCTGGTTGGGTCGTGTGGGAGGTGGCCGGTCTATGTGTCTCTATCACATGGATGTTTCTCTCTGTCTCTCTCTCTCTCTCCCTCCCTCCCTCCCACTCTATCCAATGATGAATAGAAAAATATCATCGGGTGAGGAATAAAAAAAGAAAAAGAATTCTGAAGAGTGGAATTCCTTTGCTGACTCTAATTTTATTTCTCTTACCTGTAGAAAGCTGGAGAATTCATTTGGGGGTAAAGTGAGCCTGTGGCATTGTGGCTAAGAGCACACTCTACTGCTTTCTAGCAGTGTGAACTTGGGCCTGTTATTTTAATTTCTTCAGGCATCAATTTCCTTATCTGTAAAACAGGACCCACTTTTTTTAGGGTTGTTTTAGGGTTAAATGAGTAAACATAGGTGCTTAGAACAGTGCTTGGCATGTGGGGTCATGCAAGCATTAGCCGTTATTATTTTTGTGTGTGAATGCATTGAAATTAATTTAATACCAACATTAGACATAGTGTCGGGAGAAAAAAATTTACTAAAGACTATATAATGTTTGCTTCTGTTTATATAAAGTTTATGAAAAAGCAAAACTTCACACTATGTCATTGAGGGATACATACAAAAGCAGTCCAGGTATAAAGCAAGCAAGCAAATGAGTAAAACACATTCAGGGTGGTGACTACCTCAGGGTGGTATGTGTTGGTGGGAGAAGAGATGAGTCCAAGAGGGCAGAAAGGAGTCTCTTTGCAGGTAGCACTGAGATTCTGAGATTCTTTTTTTTCTTTCAATGTAGCTGTTAAGACATGAGCTGTTATTAAAGTGGATGTCTTTAAAAGGAGAATCTGGCCTAAAGTAGAGTACTATATTAAAAAAACTTTGTTGAAGGGATAAAAATGAACATTACTTGAATGTGATGTGAAATCATCTTACAATTTCCCCCAACATGGTGACTCTAGAATACTTTTGAGAGGTAATACTAAATGTTTTATAGCAACAGGTACTTTGAGGACCTCTTCAACTGCAAATCAACAAATCTATAGGAACTGAAATTCCTTTTTTATAATGTCTATATCTTTGATTTTGAGTGTCATAATTTGTGGAGACTAGTTGTGGGTACGGAGTGAGTTTGGGTATGGGTTTTCTCAGAGCTAGATTGGTGACTGTAGCAACAGTTGAAGAAGCAGTGGTGAACTTAAAGAGGCAGTAGCTAGCAGACAGGGCGCGTGACTCAGGAGGCAGCCCACAGAAGGACCCAGGTGCAGCCTGACCTGGCTAGTGATTGCAGGCTTGATTTCTAGGTCAGTGGTTATAGACTTGATTTCTAGGCCCCAAACCTAGAAGGTTATGGTGGAGGCAGCTGGCTGAAATTGGGGTATGGAGTTGGTAACCTCTGTTTCCCTCAAGGTGTTTTGACGCAGACTCCAGCATCCTGTGGATCCAGTAGACATCCCCCAGAAGGGCCTCAGCCCCAGGCAAAAGTGGCCAGGGAGCCCAGGCTTAACCTCCAGGTCCCAGAAGACTCCTTGGGGAAGCAGCAGACCGGCCATGTTAGATCTAGGATTTGAACCCAGGTTTGTTTGATGGCAAAAACTAATTAAGCTTTTTCACTAATGACTCTATGCTGTTTCTCTGATGAAAAAGGCACCAGTGGAGAAAAAGAAAAGAGCCAAGGCATGGAGGCAGTTGAGTTCAGCATCTGAAGGGATAGATGATATACAGTATGTGAGGGCAGCTGTGAAATCAAAGGGTCGCCTGCAGGCAGAAATGCCATGGTGCTGCTGCTGGAGGAAATGGCAGTGGTATGGTAGTTGCTAAAGCCTCGTGCCTCATGGCTAGACTAGAACTTGGGAATGCATTCCTGTGTATTTCTATAGTATTTATACCTGGAATCATAGACGTACAGCCTGCATCATAGAACCTTAGAGTTGAAAGAGTGTTCTAATCACTCTTTTTATGGTCTGATTTTACATACTTGATCATCCAATCCATGCCGGAGGAGTAATGATAGAGATATTACTTCCTCTTTTCTACTGGAGTGTAAGCTCCATGTAGATAGGAATGTTGTCTATTTTCTGCTAGTTCATTGTTTAATTTTTAGTGACTGGAGCAATGCCTGAAACCTAATAGCACTCAGCAGATATTGTTGCATGAAGAATGCTCAGACAACTTGTTTAAAACAACATTATGTACCAAATGTTATCTCATTTAAGTCTTACTTGAACTCTTTGAGGTATGTATTATTATTTCCAATTTATGGATAAGGAAACTGAGACTCAGGACTCAAGCAATTTTCTTGTGACATGACTAAATATGATGGTCAGGATTTGAATCTGTGAATATAACCACTATAGGATACTGTGGAATTGTCAATTCTGTTGTCCTAGATAGTATTATCTAGGCTAAATTGTTATGGAAGGCACATCATACTGTTGACTCATTAATCTTACAGCCAACAAAAACTCACATACCTTTTAGTTACCATGCCCCATCCATCCTAGACTTGAACTGCTGGTGGTTTTGGAGCTTGCATTTGAGTTAAGAATTTCTCTGGTTAGAGTCAACTGATCTTTCTTTATTAAGATATTTTGGTTGGTGGGGGTGGGGGCGAGGCTCTGGAGTGGGGGCTGTGGTGGTGTGCGGGGACCTGCTGCAGTGCCTGCGGTGGCTGTGGGGCTGACGAGAAACTACTGAACTTCCTGTGAACATAATGGATGGAGAAGAGAAAACCTATGGTGGCTGTGAAGGCCCTGATGTCATGTATGTCAAAGTAATATCTTCAGATGGTCATGAATTTATTGTAAAAAGAGAACATGCACTGACATCAGGAACAATAAAAGCCATGTTGAGTGGCCCAGGTCAGTTTGCTGAGAATGAAACTAATTAAGTCAATTTTAGAGAGATCCCGTCACATGTGCTATTACAAGTATGCATGTAGCCCTGGCCGGTTTGGCTCAGCGGTTAGAGCATCGGCCTGCGGTCCAGAGAGACCCGGGTTCGGTTTCCGCTAAGGGCGCGTACCTCGGTTGCGGTTTGGCCCTGGCCCTGGTTGGTCGTGCGGGTGGCAGCCAGTCCATGTGGTCCTTTCACATCAGTGTTTCTTTCTCTCTGTTCCTCTCTCTCCCTCCCACTCTACCTGAACAAAAAATGGAAAAATGTCCTCGGGTGAGAATATAAACAACAACAACAACAAAAAACCCCCAAAAGTATGCATGTATTTTACTTACAAGGTTTGCTACACTAACAGCTCCACACAGATTCTTGAATTCCCAATTGCACCTGAAATCGCACTGGAACTGCTGATGGCTGTGAACTTCCCAGATTGTTAAATAAAATAAATTATAATAAACTATTGACTTTTTTCAGTATTTAAGAAAAAAAGATATTTCAGTTTAGCATAGTTTAAAAATTTCATCAAGTATTTTTTGGCATTCATTGATAAAATAATTGTTTTATTCCTTAGTTTTGTAAATATTCTAGAAAACATGTTGATAGATTTTTCTAGTACTACTTAAATATCCTTGTAGTCCTTAAATAAACTACTTAATTACAGTATATATTTATATATATATATTCTGCTGAATTTGAATTTTGCATATATGAATTATATTTATGATTCATTTATTTTGGTACTTTTTAGAATTTTGATAGTAAAGTCATGACTGCTTCATGAAATGAGCTGGAAGTTTTCCATTTTGCCTGTGCTCTGGAAGTACAGGAATTGTCTGTGGTGTATTGCCATCTTTGTCTCTTGGAGAGCATAGGAATTATCAGTTCTTTAAAAGTTAAAAAGTTAAAAAACTCAACAGATATTATCTAGGACAACAGAGGTGACAATTCCACAGTGGTTATATTCATATAGTGGTTATATTCACAGATTCAAATCCGGACCACCATATTTTAGTCATGTCACAAGAAAATCACTTAATTCCTGAGTCTCAATTTCCTCATCCAATGAGGAATATCTGCTGAATTTTTAAAAGTTAAAAAACTCACTCATAAAACCAATTGATCTTCACACATTTAAAAGATATATTTAACAGTATTTTATTGGTCTGTTCATGCTTTCTACCCTTTCTTGAATCAGTTGGTAATTTATATTTTACTAGAAAATAATCTAGTTTCTGTAGATTTAAAAAAATATATTGGTATAAAGTTGACATGGCATTCTCTTATTTTCTCTTTTCCCCATATCTGTGCTTATAGTCTCTTTCTTATTCCTTATGTTTTTAACTTTTAAAAATATCTTTTGAATCCTGATCCTGTCATTTAACATACTAATTATTAGAAACTTTGTAGAGCACACTAGCATTTAGCCCCAATTTGTTTGTATATCCACAGGCTTAATTAATTAAATAAATTCAACAAACATTTATTAAGTGTCTTCTATATACCAGATAGATGCAGGATCTATAAAGGGCAATTAAAACAATGTCCTGTCCTGGCCGGTTTGGCTCAGTGGTTAGAGCGTTGGCCTGCAGTCCAGAGAGACCTGGGTTTGGTTCCCGCTAAGGGCACGTACCTCAGTAGCAGTTTGTCCCCGGCTCTGGTTGGGTTGTGTGGGTGGCAGCCACTCGATGTGTCCCTTTCATGTTGATGTTTTTCTCTCTCTCCCTCCCACCCTATCTGAATAAAAAAAACAAAACAAAACAATAAAAACAATGTCCTACTTTAAAAAATTTACAGTATAGTGAGGATATTTGAGCCATTTGTCAAATGGCTTGCTGAAATTCAGATACATTACTGCATGAAAATAATCCATCTGGGCAATATAAATACTGTATTTCTGTTTCTTACTAGGACATATTTATTCTCTGTTGAATAAGAACAAGAAATGACATGACAATAATCAAAATTAGAATTTATCTAATAACTGTAGTGGATACCAATACATACTTACTGAGATGTAGGCAGGAGATAAATACTTTATGAAGATTCATTATTAAGATTCATTTTCAGAAAATAAAAGCACTCAAACCAATATTTAACAATTAAATATTTTCTTTTTTACTTTAAAAAAAATTTTATTGTTGAATGTATTACAGATGTTCCTCATTTTCCCCCCATTGATCCCCTCCTCCCCACTCCCACCCCCCTCCGGTCTTTTCCCACACTGTTGTCTGTGTCCATTGGTTATGCATATAAGTTCTTTGGTTTATTTCTTCCCACTCCCCAACCCCCTTTCCTTTGAGGTTTGTCAGTCTAGCAACCAATTTGTACTTCTTAGCCCCTTCACCTTTTTTACCCATTCCCCCAACCCCTTCCCATCTGGCAACCAACAAAATAGTCTTTGTATCTATGAGACTGTTTCTGTTCTGCTTGTTCATTTTGTTTATAGATTCCCTTGTCGATAGATATGTATTCATTGCCATTTTCTTTGTTCATATATTTTATCTTTTTATTCAAAAAGACCCTTCAATATTTCATATAATAATGGTTTGGTGGTGATGAACTCCTTTAACTTTTTCTTGTCTGGGAAACTCTTTATTTGGTCATCGATTCTAAATGACAGATTTGCAGGATAGAGTAATCTTGGTTGTAGGTTCTTGCTTCTCATCACTCTGAATATTTCTTGCCACTCCCTTCTGGCCTGCAAAGTTTCTTTTGAGAAATCAGCTGACAGTCTTATGGGAACTCTCTTGTAGGTAACTAACTGCTTTTCTCTTGCTGCTTTTAAGATTCTCTCTTTGTCTGGAACCTTTTGCATTTTGATGATGATGTGTCTTGGTGTGGGCCTCTTGGAGTTCATCTTGTTTGGGACTCTCTGTACTTCCTGGATTTGTATGTTTGTTTCCTTCACCAAGTTAGGGAAGTTTTCTGCCATTATGGTTTCAAATAGGTTTTCGATTTCTTGTTCTCTCTCTTCGCCTTCTGGCACCCCCAAGATGCAAATGTTGGCATGATTGAAGTTTTCCCAGAGGCTCCTTACACTAGCCTCATTTTTTTGGATTCTTTTTTCTTTTTGCTGTTCTGATTGGGTGTTTTTGCTTCTTTGTGTTCCAAATCGATGGTTTGCTTCTTGGCTTTACCTACTCTACTATTGAATCTGTGTAAATTATTCTTTATCTCAGTTAGTGCCTCCTTCATTTCCGACTGGTCCTTTTTTATGCTCTTGAGGCCCTCATTAAGTTTGCTGAGGTTCTCACTAAGTTCATTGAACATCTTTATAAGCAGTATTTTGAACTCAGCATCTGTTAGGTTGCTTATCTTCATTTCGCTTAGTTCTTTTCCTGGGGTTTTGTTCTGTTCTTTCATTTGGGACCTGTTTCTTTGTCTCCTCATTTTGACTGTCTCCCTGTGTTTGTTTCTGTGTATTATTTAATGAGAGGTATGGGGCTAGCTGAGACCAGATGCTGCTTGTTTGAAAGAATTTAGGAAAACCTGAAGCAGGATCCAAGACAGGCCAATCCTGTGGTTAAGCAACTGGCAACAGGTTGGGTGGGCCTGAAAGTTGGGTGGGGCGGGGCCTCAGGGAATCACCAGGGCAGGGCAACCAGTGTGAGCCAGGTTGCTGGAGTCCCAGATATGGTGGCTGGCTGCCGCCCCAGGGAAGGGCTCACCAAAGGAACAAAGG